TACACAGTTGACATTCTCCTATGAATTTTAACTGGTTTTTATAAGCAACCAAAAACTTGATAACTGACCGCTGTTCAATCCTGGAGCATGCTTCTTCTTGGTCGGCCATCTTTGTTAATCCTTAAAACTCTCAAAGTTTTTTTTTTTTTTTTTTTAATCTGCAAAAGTAATTAAATCCATGGGAAAAAGAAGTAAAAAAAATAAAAAAATAAAAAAGTAACCTTCTATCTGTATTAGAAGTCCTTATACCGAAAAATTCACCTTATTTGTTGAATGACCCTCGTATAATCAGACATAAAGAGGTCATGGCTTAGAGAACAGATGAAGAACAAATACATCACAGATTAAATGACAAATAATAGAGAGATGAGCTCAAGACATTTTCTAATAAGAGACAGTAGAAGACTGACGACCTGTTCTAGAAAGTGTCAAAATATGCGTTTTTTTGCTACCGTGTACTCGAAGAGGCCGCTCATACTGATTATAGAGGGTGCGATGAATAAATTGTCGTCTAAATTACGCAAAAATGAAAATAACACTGACATTTCATTTTAACAGATATATTTACCAAAGTTACACAAAAACTATCTTAAAATACTAAAGAGTAAATTAATTCAATAAAATCGCCATTAGCTTCAACAACGGCCTCCAGACGACTTCGGAATCTCCTGCAGGTATTCTGGATGGTCTCCTTAAATAGGTGATCATCTTTGGTGTTTTTGTTGGCCTCTCGTTCAAATGCACCCAACACATAATCAAGGGGTTTGCAGTCTGGTGAGTTAGGTGGTCAAGTCTAAGGGGTGACGTAGTCGTACAAATTGTCTGACAGGTTTCACCTGCTTGTGTGGTATTGTGCATAGTCCTGTTGACAGACACAACGACTTCCAGCAGCCATCCTCTTGACCCAACACTACCTGTTGTTCATGATGACGGTCGTCTTTGAGTATAGAATCCAGAGGTTAGCAGTGAATATTTCGAAGACAGTAGGGAAAGTAGCAGAGCGTAGTTCTTCCTTCTGTTCCTCTTCACCTGACAAGCTGGCATTGGACATTCGGATAGAGTAAACAAAATGGCCGCCTTTATACACGATGGATTGAATATTCTACGTCTTCTGATTGGTTAACCTTCTATTGGTGGACTATAAAGTGAGTCAAGTCATTTGGGCTAACTCACTAGTACATAATACCCCCCAAAACTGCAACACTACTTCTTCAACGCACTTGATGTAGGCCTCCGTGTTGAGTCTGCGGCCCTGTGGGAAGATGAATGGAGACATAACGTCGCCATCACAAGTGACCAATCTAAACACTTTCGTAATCACCATTAGAGTCATCCAAGATTTTCCAAATCCTCTGTACTGCCCCCAGATTGACGCCTATTGGAATTTTCAGCGTGAATGTCAAGTAGTACAACATGCCGTTTCAGAATTTCTAGCAGAGCGAATTGCGTCATGGTGCTTTTCTTCTCACAGACATTGCCCAACTGACTGTACTATAAATGAGAAACCGACAAACTCAAAAATAAACAACGTGCATGCGAAAAATTAAAGATATATATGACGACAATTTACTCATCGCACACGCCCCCCAAAATTTTAAAGAACCGACAATGTCTGTGTATTTAATTTTCGATTGTATTTTTCCAAATTTCGCATAAATTGTTGAGCATTGTCCTCGAAGTCGTTCATAAATTATCCGAAGTTCGTATTTTGTTGTTTTTTTCAATTACCTGAGAAATGTAGTACTTGGCCAAGAACTGCTGCTCAAGCCGTGGTCACTGATGAGAAACCTGTGGTGTAGTGAGACGACGTCACACTACACACTTTACTTTTAAGCACTGATAAAAACAACGTTAGTGGGATTAAATATTATAACTTAGTGAGCATGCGCGACAGATTTTAAGGTCAATCTATGCCAAGCGGCTTCACTCTGGGAACTTTAGCTTCGTTAGTATAGCAACAGCGCCGATACATTTGAACAGGTCTCGTATATGTCTTATCTGTGTGTGTGTGTGTCTGTGTGCGTATATATATATATATATATATATATATATATATATATATATATATATATATATGTTTGTTTCTGATTGGTTGTTCGAACTATCTATTTTAGAGGTGGTGAAATGTTGTTATCCTTGTTATTATTTGTTTATTTCTTTTCTTACATCCTGGTTGTGAAAACTTTCTGACTGGTTGGTCGAACTATGGGTTGATTTGCCCAGAAATTTTTATTATCCGTCTATTTTTAGAGATGCTGAAATTTTGGTTTTCTAGCTATTTTATTTATTTTATTTCATTATCACCATAGGACGTCTATTTCAAACACGGCCATTCGCCATATATATATATATATATATATATATATATATATATATATATATATATATATATATACACTTATGCAACGTTTACAAATGACTAAGTAAGATTTATTCTTCAGAGGAAATCAAAAAATTTGAATATAGCATACTGTTTACATTGTTTTTCTCAATTTTGTCCCTTACTTTTGGACGTTCCAAATTTGAAAATAAATAAATATTGTTATAATTCTTTTTCTATTCTTTGCAAATGATTCAAATTTTAATATGTTATTATGGATGATAACGACTACCAGTTGTCAAAATTTCAGCTTTTCACAGTTGTTATTTCTAACAAATATTAGGTTTTAAAATTTTGTCCCTTAGTTTTGGACGCTACTGTATATATATTTATATATATATATAGGAACATCTTCAGATCTATCTATCTATCTATCTATCTATCTATCTATCTATCTATCTATATATATATATATATATATAGGAACATCTTCAGACCTATCTATCTATCTATCTATCTAGTCTAGTCTAGTCTACTAGATAACTTCGTTTTTGTTTGCTGGTTAAGGCAACATTCTGATATTTATTATAACACAATATTTTACCAGATCTACTTGCTAACATTCATCACGCAAACATAACATACAGAAACATTCTTGGCGCGGCAAATCGTTTTTTTTTATTTAATACATTTCCTGTTAACTCCTTCCTCATGCAGATAATAAAAATCCCTTTTACGTTTCTTTTTTGCTTGTTCGATATCGCCTACCCAATTTCTTGAAAGAAATATGAAGCTTTAGTCATAAAAAAGATTGAATGAAACGATGAGGCCATCGTCTGTGACATCAACTCCATTTTCAAATTATTTTCCGAGGAGTTTTTCCTTTATCGGCTTCCCGTGAACAAGTAATGTAGCTGGCGAGACAATTCTGTCTTACTACGCGTGTGAACACACACACACACATACACACACACACACACATACACACACGCACAGAGAACAGACAGTATTGTTTTGGTTGTACATCAACCAGAAACTGCAAGCATCCTATTGACGCCAACACGAAAGAAGGAATAGCACTTTTATTTGTACGCAGGTAAAAGTTATAAGCACTTTTTCAAAAATTCATATTGAAAGAAAATGAAGAAAATAAATGCAAGTATAGTTAAAAAGAAAGGACAATTGAAAAATAAACAGAAGGAAATAATTAAAAAAAAAAAGATAACTAATGGAGAAGGGAACAAAGGACAATGTCATATATAAGATAAAATAATAATGAAAAAGTAGAATTGAATAGTAATGAAAGAAAGGATAAAAAGATGTAAGGAAGCCAAAAAACAAACAAAACAAACAAACAAAAAAGACACGTGAGATAATAACAATAGAAAAAAATAATGAAAAACACCGAACGGCATTTGTGCGCGTGCGCAAACACAAACGATCATGCGCATATGCACACTGTATATTTTGGCAGTACATTCTCTTGTTTGACTATCTGTAAATATTGTTTATTGAGAATTTATATTTTTAAATGTCTTCTTTTTTTTCTTCTTATAAGTGTTTTTCCAGTTGTTTCAAGATTATAGATACATTTACCGATATTATTCATATTCAAAATGTTGAAATTTCACGCTACTTGGAACAAACATTTAGTAAGTAAGCCTCCGTCAAGACCGGAAAGAGCGATAACATTTAGCAAACTTAAGAACTCCATTTTCCTGAAAAAGAAGAAACTGATTTTATAGGAAGACTAGCAGTAGAGCCCGGCGTTGACCGGGGATGTAACAGTAAGAGATAGATCAAGTATCGACCATCATAAAGGCTGAAAAATAAAATTGACAAAGATTATTGTTTAAGGTTGACGGACACACATGTCTTAATTAGTTTTTGTTTTTTTTTACGAATTGGTCAAACTCAAATAAAAACAATTGTTTTCAATCGTTATGAGTCTACCGATTGAATAGAATTTTATTATAAACAATTGTCTTGTAAATGGAATTTTTAAAGCATTCTGAATGTAAAAATAAAGAAAAAGTGTGCAAGACAATAAGAAACACTACCTGCCAAAAAAAAGTGAAGTTTTGTTGAAATCCGTTGAAAAATGTAGGAAATCCGATCCCATATATAAACGAACACACACACACACACACACACACACACACACACACACACACACACACACACACACACACAAACAACCTGGGTTTTATAATAAGTATGACTCGATATGAGTTGTCCCCCTTTCATTCTCGCGATGTCTCTTAATCGTGTTTTCAAATTGATTTCGTGTAAAAACAATTGTGTTTTCCAATTTTTGGCGCTGTTAGAACCACCGCAAGATAATTTTACGTAGTCCTGTGAAGTTTTGTTGAAATTGGTTGAAAAATGTAGGAAATCCGATCCAATATATAAACGTACAGACGCACACACACACACACAACCTGGGTTTTATAATAAGTAAGATTTTATAAATTTCAACCTATAGTAGCATTGGCAGTTCGGTCAATGAATACCGAATATTTTAGTATGAGAACAAACTTTAATATTACCATTGATATGAGAACACATAGTACACTTTGATCCCACTCCGATGGCCAGAGAACGAAGAAAATCGTAACTCGGGTAGTATTGGCTACAAAAAGCATAATAAAAATCAGCAACAAAGAAGAAAAGAAGAGATTCACTGAAAAAGAAAGAAAGAAAGAATAGTAGAAAAAAAAAGGAAAGAAAGACTGGAGCAATAAAGAAAGAAAGAAAGAAAGAAAGAAAGAAAGAAAGAATAGTAGAAAAGAAGAAAGGGAAGAAAACTAGGGCAATACAAAAAAGAAAGGAAGAAAGAAAAAGCAGTAGAAAAGAAGAAAAGGAAGAAAACTAGGGCAATACAGAAAAGAAAGAATTGATTGAAGAAAGAAAGAAAGAATGAATGAAAGAAAGAATAGTAGAAAAGGAGAAAGAGAAGAAAACTAGGGCAAGACAGAAGAGAAAGAATTGATTGAAGAAAGAAAAAAAGAAAGAAAAAGCAGTAGAAAAGAAGAAAGGGAAGAAAACTAGGGCAATACAAAAAAGAAAGAAAGAATAGTAGAAAAAAAGAAAGGAAAGAAAGACTGGAGCAAGAAAGAAAGAAAGAAAGAAAGAAAGAAAGAAAGAAAGAATAGTAGAAAAGGAGAAAGGTAAGAAAACTAGGGCAAGACAGAAGAGAAAGAATTGATTGAAGAAAGAAAGAAACAAAGAAAAGTAGAAAAGAAGAAAAGAAAGAAAGACTAGGGCAATATAGAAAAGAATGAATGGATTGAAAAGAAAGAAAGAGAGTAGAAAAGACGAAAGGAAAGAAATGATAGTGCCATAGAGAAAAGAAGGGATTGATTGAAAAAGAAAGAAAGAAAGAAAGAAAGAGAGGAAAATAAAAATAGGAAAGACAGACTACGACAATAGAGAAAAGAAGGAATTGATTGAAAAAAAAAAGAAGAGTAGAAAGGAAAGAAAGAGTAGGACAATAGAGAAAAGAAGGAACCGTAGAAAAAAGAAAGGAAAGAAAGATGAAGGGAACACCGAAAAGTAGCAATAAAAAGAAAGAAAAGAAAAAAAAGGACAGGGAAAAAGAAAACAGAAGCGTTAATGATTAAAGAAAAGGTAACGGGAGCGAAAACAAAGAGTTTTGAAAAGCAAAAACGTGTGTGGTCAACAGTTTTGATGTGAAAGTAACAAAATAAGAAAGGAAAGACAATTGAGAGAAAGAAGAAAAGAAAGAGAGAAAGAGAAAAAAAAAGAAAGCGTGTATGTGTGTGTGTGTGTGTGAGACAGAGAGAGAGAGAGAGAGAGAGAGAGAGAGAGAGAGAGAGAAACGAGGAGGTAAGGGCGTAGGGAGCTGCGATAAAAGATGCTATGTTAAGGAGGCGAACAACAGACGCACCATTGAAAAGCAAAAAAAAAAAATAGAAAAGAAGAGAATGAAAAACAGACAGAGATTATTGTTGGCGCTAACAACTGGTGATGAAAAAGGTGTGAAGAAGATGATCTTTGTTATGAACATGAGAAGTTGTTTGTGATGACTGCAGTGTTTCTATTCACGGATATAGCGTCGAGTAACGGGAGAAAACAACGGTGGACAAGCAAGAAGAGAAGAAGCATTTGAAACTGATACAATGAGTCAGTGCACTTCAACAGCAGGACATCCTTTATCCTATGGATTTGAAAACTTGAGCGTTCGACGAAGTTTTTTTTTTGTTGTTTCTCTCTTTAAATTTACAGATTATATGTTCTCAAACCTTCAATGCGACAATCAAACCAAATAAAAACGAAATAATATTAACGGTGTGCATTGTTCTTACAGTGATCTTCACCCTGTACAAAACCCAAGAGCCTCTCGAGGTTACAGTGTAAGAAGAACAGTTTAAGTGGATATATGGGGAAGATAACGTTTAACCCTAGATTTGAACAAGTTAAATTTGTAGTTATTGTGGAAGCATCCTCTTGACAGTCGGTTCCACAAAGCAGTAGCTTGTGGGATGAAGCTGCTCGATTGGAACTTATACCCCAACAAAGGAATACAAATGGAATGAGGTCGGTTCGCTACAATGTACATGGTATTGCACAAAGCAGTGGCTTGTGGGATGAAGCTGCTCGATTGGAACTTATACCTCAACAAAGGAATACAAATGGAATGAGGTCGGTTCGCTACAATGTACATGGTATTGCACAAAGCAGTGGCTTGTGAGATGAAGCTGCTCGATTGGAACTTATACCTCACCAATGAAATACAAATAGAATGAGGTCGGTTCTTATGGTATTACAATGTACATGGTATTGCACAAAGCAGTGGCTTGTGAGATGAAGCTGCTCGATTGGAACTTATACCTCACCAATGAAATACAAATAGAATGAGGTCGGTTCGCTACAATGTACATGGTATTGCACAAAGCAGTGGCTTGTGGGATGAAGCTGCTCGATTGGAACTTATACCTCAACAAAGGAATACAAATGGAATGAGGTCGGTTCGCTACAATGTACATGGTATTGCACAAAGCAGTGGCTTGTGGGATGAAGCTGCTCGATTGGAACTTATACATCACCAATGAAATACAAATGGAATGAGGTCGGTTCGCTACAATGTACATGGTATTGCACAAAGCAGTGGCTTGTGAGATGAAGCTGCTCGATTGGAACTTATACCTCACCAATGAAATACAAATAGAATGAGGTCGGTTCGCTACAATGTACATGGTATTGCACAAAGCAGTGGCTTGTGAGATGAAGCTGCTCGATTGGAACTTATACCCCAACAAAGGAATACAAATGGAATGAGGTCGGTTCGCTACAATGTACATGGTATTGCACAAAGCAGTGGCTTGTGGGATGAAGCTGCTCGATTGGAACTTATACCTCACCAATGAAATACAAATAGAATGAGGTCGGTTCGCTACAATGTACATGGTATTGCACAAAGCAGTGGCTTGTGGGATGAAGCTGCTCGAATGGAACTTATACCCCAACAAAGGAATACAAATGGAATGAGGTCGGTTCGCTACAATGTACATGGTATTGCACAAAGCAGTGGCTTGTGGGATGAAGCTGCTCGATTGGAACTTATACCTCACCAATGAAATACAAATAGAATGAGGTCGGTTCGCTACAATGTACATGGTATTGCACAAAGCAGTGGCTTGTGGGATGAAGCTGCTCGATTGGAACTTATACCCCAACAAAGGAATACAAATGGAATGAGGTCGGTTCGCTACAATGTACATGGTATTGCACAAAGCAGTGGCTTGTGGGATGAAGCTGCTCGATTGGAACTTATACCTCACCAATGAAATACAAATAGAATGAGGTCGGTTCGCTACAATGTAAATGGTATTGCACAAAGCAGTGGCTTGTGGGATGAAGCTGTTCGATTGGAACTTATACCCCAACAAAGGAATACAAATGGAATGAGGTCGGATCGCTACAATGTACATGGTATTGCACAAAGCAGTGGCTTGTGGGATGAAGCTGCTCGATTGGAACTTATAACTCACCAATGAAATACAAATAGAATGATGTCGGTTCGCTACAATGTACATGGTATTGCACAAAGCAGTGGCTTGTGAGATGAAGCTGCTCGATTGGAACTTATACCTCACCAATGAAATACAAATAGAATGAGGTCGGTTCGCTACAATGTACATGGTATTGCACAAAGCAGTGGCTTGTGGGATGAAGCTGCTCGATTGGAACTTATACCCCAAACAAAGGAATACAAATAGAATGAGGTCGGTTCGCTACAATGTACATGGTATTGCACAAAGCAGTGGCTTGTGGGATGAAGCTGCTCGATTGGAACTTATACCCCAAACAAAGGAATACAAATAGAATGAGGTCGGTTCGCTACAATGTACATGGTATTGCACAAAGCAGTGGCTTGTGGGATGAAGCTGCTCGATTGGAACTTATACCCCAACAAAGGAATACAAATGGAATGAGGTCGGTTCGCTACAATGTACATGGTATTGCACAAAGCAGTGGCTTGTGGGATGAAGCTGCTCGATTGGAACTTATACCCCAAACAAAGGAATACAAATGGAATGAGGTCGGTTCGCTACAATGTACATGGTATTGCACAAAGCAGTGGCTTGTGGGATGAAGCTGCTCGATTGGAACTTATACCTCACCAATGAAATACAAATAGAATGGGGTCGGTTCGCTACAATGTACATTGTATTGCACAAAGCAGTGGCTTGTGAGATGAAGCTGCTCGATTGGAACTTATACCCCAACAAAGGAATACAAATGGAATGAGGTCGGTTCGCTACAATGTACATGGTATTGCACAAAGCAGTGGCTTGTGGGATGAAGCTGCTCGATTGGAACTTATACCTCAGCAATGAAATACAAATAGAATGAGGTCGGTTCGCTACAATGTACATGGTAGTGCACAAAGCAGTGGCTTGTGGGATGAAGCTGCTCGATTGGAACTTATACCCTAACAAAGGAATACAAATGGAATGAGGTCGGTTCGCTACAATGTACATGGTATTGCACAAAGCAGTGACTTGTGGGATGAAGCTGCTCGATTGGAACTTATACCTCACCAATGAAATACAAATAGAATGAGGTCGGTTCGCTACAATGTACATGGTATTGCACAAAGCAGTGGCTTGTGGGATGAAGCTGCTCGATTGGAACTTATACCCCAACAAAGGAATACAAATGGAATAAGGTCGGTTCGCTACAATGTACATGGTATTGCACAAAGCAGTGGCTTGTGGGATGAAGCTGCTCGATTGGAACTTATACCTCACCAATGACATACAAATAGAATGAGGTCAGTTCTACAATGTACATGGTATTGCACAAAGCAGTGGCTTGTGAGATGAAGCTGCTCGATTGGAACTTATACCCCAACAAAGGAATACAAATGGAATGAGGTCGGTTCGCTACAATGTACATGGTATTACACAAAGCAGTGGCTTTTGGGGATGAAGCTGCTCGATTGGAACTTATACCTCAACAAAGGAATACAAATGGAATGAGGTCGGTTCGCTACAATGTACATGGTATTGCACAAAGCAGTGGCTTGTGAGATGAAGCTGCTCGATTGGAACTTATACCTCACCAATGAAATACAAATAGAATGAGGTCGGTTCGCTACAATGTACATGGTATTGCACAAAGCAGTGGCTTGTGAGATGAAGCTGCTCGATTGGAACTTATACCTCAACAAAGGAATACAAATGGAATGAGGTCGGTTCGCTACAATGTACATGGTATTGCACAAAGAAGTGGCTTGTGAGATGAAGCTGCTCGATTGGAACTTATACCCCAACAAAGGAATACAAATGGAATGAGGTCGGTTCGCTACAATGTACATGGTATTACACAAAGCAGTGGCTTGGGGGATGAAGCTGCTCGATTGGAACTTATACCACAACAAAGGAATACAAATGGAATGAGGTCGGTTCGCTACAATGTACATGGTATTGCACAAAGCAGTGGCTTGTGGGATGAAGCTGCTCGATAGGAACTTATACCCTAACAAAGGAATACAAATGGAATGAGGTCGGTTCGCTACAATGTACATGGTATTGCACAAAGCAGTGGCTTGTGGGATGAAGCTGCTCGATTGGAACTTATACCTCAACAAAGGAATACAAATGGAATGAGGTCGGTTCGCTACAATTTACATGGTATTGCACAAAGCAGTGGCTTGTGGGATGAAGCTGCTCGACTGGAACTTATACCCTAACAAAGGAATACAAATGGAATGAGGTCGGTTCGCTACAATGTACATGGTATTGCACAAAGCAGTGGCTTGTGGGATGAAGCTGCTCGATTGGAACTTATACCTCACCAATGAAATACAAATAGAATGAGGTCGGTTCGCTACAATGTACATGGTATTGCACAAAGCAGTGGCTTGTGAGATGAAGCTGCTCGATTGGAACTTATACCTCAACAATGAAATACAAATAGAATGAGATCGGTTCGCTACAATGTACATGGTATTGCACAAAGCAGTGGCTTGTGAGATGAAGCTGCTCGATTGGAAATTATACCCCAACAAAGGAATACAAATGGAATGAGGTCGGTTCGCTACAATGTACATGGTATTGCACAAAGCAGTGGCTTGTGGGATGAAGCTGCTCGATTGGAACTTATACCTCAACAAAGGAATACAAATGGAATGATACAATGTAATGGTATTGCACAAAGCAGTGGCTTGTGAGATGAAGCTGCTCGATTGGAACTTATACCCCAACAAAGGAATACAAATGGAATGAGGTGTTCGCTACAATGTACATGGTATTGCACAAAGCAGTGGCTTGTGGTATGAAGCTGCTCGATTGGAACTTATACCTCAACAAAGGAATACAAATGGAATGAGGTCGGTTCGCTACAATGTACATGGTATTGCACAAAGCAGTGGCTTGTGTGATGAAGCTGCTCGATTGGAACTTATACCTCAACAAAGGAATACAAATGGAATGAGGTCGGTTCGCTACAATGTACATGGTATTACAAAGCATGGGATGAAGCTGCTCGATTGGAACTTATACCTCACCAATGAAATACAAATAGAATGAGGTCGGTTCGCTACAATGTACATGGTATTGACAAAGCAGTGGCTTGTGGGATGAAGCTGCTCGATTGGA